AGAAAAAAAAAAAACATATGTTATGTTAAATTTATTTACATGATAACTTTTTTATTAGAGCATCACAATGCTTTGGGCTTAATCACAAAAAAATTATATGTCAATATTAAATAAACACAATCTAGAAAAAAATATATTATCCAATGCAAGTGGAAGTGACTAGGTCCTGCTGATGTGACAGCAAGAAAAAGAAACTCGGTCTACACTTAAGTCTATTTTATACCCATGTAAAGACTTAGTCTCTTTGCATTAGAGTGAATTTGATAAATTTTATATAGTTTTTTCCATGTCATCCAAAACTTGGATTTATTTAAGTGCTACATAGACAAAACTAGACTCAATGCATTGTATATGCTCTTAAACAGCTTAATAGGTAGATAATCGTACGTCTATGCATACATTTACATAAAAAGTCGTAGTCTACAAAAAATACTATATCATTTCATCGTATAAATATACATTTTTGTCCAATAACGAATCAACTCATCTAATAATTATATATTCTAATATAAATATTTCTGAAAAAGGCGTATTCTAAAATAATAATATAAAAATGATATAACAATTTATCATATATATATATACATTTTTGCTGACAAATTAACTCGTCTAACAAGTGATAACTAGCTAGACAACCTAATTTATGTATTTGTGATGCTTTAATAGAATTATTAAGTTAAAAAGGAAGTTGATTTATTTGTCCATTTGTTTCCTAATTAGGATACATGTAAAACAACATTAGCTCAATCGAATAATTGTCATTTGTATTCGAGTGCCGTTTTATGATTGTGTATTAGGGGTTATTAAAGGTGGTCTGTAAAGGTTTCCGTACATGAATATAGATAATCTAGAACATGTTATATAGTCAGTGGTGCACATTATGTAAACAAATCCTAAATCTTGTTTGGAATTAGGCAGAGTATAAGAAATGTGATTTTATAAGCGAAGCCCGAGCTTGTTTAATAATGTTAATTCATAGTCAACGGCCAGAGATTTTTAGCATTATTTAGTTCACCAAAGGCTCGAGCTTGATTTGTTAATTTTGATAAACGAGTTGAACGAGCTTGATTTGTTAATTTTGATAAACGAGTTGAGCTCAAGTTAATTTATCGGCTAAAACCAAACGGGCTGATCTCTGCTCGACTTGATAAAGGCTCAAGAGCTTGAGCTTTGCTCGAATCGTTTACAACTTTAATTTGACAACTACTTAACATTAATGTTAACTTTGTAATGAAAAATCTAATTTTTTTTTTTTTTTAAATTACTAGGTATAGGGACCAACCTAATTATCAAGATTTTTTTTTAATATTTTGTTATGGTGATTAAAAAATAATAAAAGTAAATTTAAATTTCATCTCTCGCAACTGTAGTACGATAAATTTGATCCTACCAGTGAGGGCAGTGCCCTTATGGAGCTTTTCACTGTTAGATCTAACACATATTTATATGGGTGTGTGATATCCAATATTGGTAAAAGACTCACCTCCCCAAAGAGTACATATTGGCCAATTTGAAAGACTAGCTATCACAAATGTTGACTCCCATGCACTTTGGACCTACCCACTAGCAAAGGCACCCAACATTTTAGTTACTTTACCAATATGTATCTTGACTTTAATGTTTTATGGCTCTCTATAATAAATATAGCTTGAGATTCTGATTGACTATATATGCATTCATATTGTACATGACACCTTGATTAACTATTACTTGCATTGTTGTGTTTCATTCTTTGTGATTGGAAAATATTTGAAAAACACTTCATGCTAGAAAGCATGGAGAGTACATTTCAAATGTTAAATAAGATACAATATCATGTTCAGACTCCCAG